CAGTATTATAATTATATATTTTATATTACATGCAATATTACTAATCATATTACAATATAATGGTCTAGTACAATATAGTAATATACGTATAATACTGAGATGTTAATAATATATTGTATATGTGTATAATATTTATGATATTATGTGATGCAATACAAAACTAATAATAATATAATATTATAATTATATATTTATATTACATGCAATATTACTAATAATATTATAGTATAATGGTATAGTACAATATATTAATATATGTATAATACTGATATGCTGATAATATAATATATTTTCTAACTCCTATTTCTAAAATATATATTTTATTATATATATTTTCCAATATGTGTATTATGTATTTTCATCTTGCCTTCATCAGTATATGCATATATTTATAATATTATGTGATGCAATATAAAACTAATAATAATAATACAATAATATAATTATATATTTTATATTACATGTAATATTGCTAATAATATTCCAATATAATGGTATAGTACAATATAGTAATATACGTATAATACTGATATGTTAATAATTTATTGTATATGCGTATAATATTTATATTATTATAACGTGATGCAATATAAAACTAATAATAATGCAATATTATAATTATATATTTAATATTACATAAAATATTACTAATAATATTACAATATAATGGTATAGTACAATATAGTAATATACGTATAATACTGATATGCTAATAATATAATATAATATTTTCTAACTCCTATTTCTAATATGGTTACATCCAATATATATTTTCCAATATGTGTATTATGTATTTTCATCTTGCCTTCATCAGTATATGCATATATTTATAATATTATGTGATGCAATATAAAACTAATAATAATAATACAATAATATATTACTAAAAATATTACAGTATAATGGTATAGTACAATACAGTAATATACATATACTGATATGCTAATATAATATATCGTATATGTGTATAATATTTATATTATTATAATGTGATGCAATATAAAACTAATAATACAATATTATAATTATATTTAAGAAGTACTTCCTCTACCTTACCTTTTCCATTTTCTGTTTGGGCACTCGCAATATTTGCATCTCCAGCAAAGGCTCACCGCCTTGTCGGGGCGCTGGAGCTTGAGCACCTCAATGATGTCATGAGCGAAACCGTGAAGGGACACCCAAGACGGGACGGTTGTGGCAGAGAGGTCAGACCAAGCGTGATCCCTGGGGAAGGCAATGGCAAACCACTCCAGTATCGCCAAGAAAACTAAATGGACCAGTACAACCAGAGATATGTCGGTATGCCATTGGAAGATGGGACTCCCAGGTCGGAAGATGGCCAAAATGCGACTGGGGAGGAGCAGAGGATAAGTTCAACTAGCCCCAGATGTGATGACGCAGCTAGCTCAAAGCCGAAAGGAAGGCTAGCGGCCGACGGTACTGGAGGTGAACGACGAATCCGATGCTCTAAAGATCAACACACCATAGGAACCTGGAATGTAAGATCTATGAGCCAGGGCAAATTGGATGTTGTTATTGGCGAGATGTCAAGACTAAAGATAGACATTCTGGGGGTCAGCGAACTGAAATGGACTGGAATGGGCCACTTCACATCAGATGGCCACCAGATCTACTACTGCGGACAAGAGGAACATCGAAGAAATGGAGTAGCCTTCATAATTAATAAGAAATTCGCTAAAGCGGTGCTTGGATACAACCCAAAAAATGACAGAATGATCTCAATTCGAGTGCAAGGAAAGCCTTTCAACATTACAGTGATCCAAATATACGCCCAAACCACAGCTGCTGAAGAAGCAGAAGTAGATCAGTTCTATGAGGATCTGCAGGACCTACTGGATAATACACCAAAAAGAGACATTATTTTCATTACAGGAGACTGGAATGCAAAGGTGGGAAGTCAAATGACAACTGGGATCACAGGCAAGCATGGTCTGGGAGAACAAAATGAAGCGGGACGCAGGCTGATAGAATTTTGCCAGGAAAACTCGCTGTGTATAACGAATACTCTCTTCCAACAACCTAAAAGACGGCTTTACACATGGACTTCCCAGATGGTCAACACCGAAATCAGATTGACTACATCCTTTGCAGTCAAGGGTGGCGGACATCCATCCAGTCGGTGAAAACCTGGGGCTGACTGTAGTTCAGATCACTAACTTCTTATTGCTCAATTTAGAATAAAAATAAAGAGATCAGGGAAAATACACAGACCAGTTAGATATGATCTCACTAACATTCCTAGCGAATATACAGTGGAAGTGAAGAACAGATTTGAAGGACTAGATTTAGTAAACAGAGTCCCAGAAGAACTATGGACAGAAGTCCGAGACATTGTTCAGGAGGCGGCAACAAAGTACGTCCCAAAGAAAAAGAAAACCAAGAAGGCAAAATGGTTGTCTGATGAGACACTGGAAGTAGCCCAAGAAAGGAGGAAAGCAAAAGGAAACAGGGATAAGGGGAGATATGCCCAGTTAAATGCGCAATTCCAGAGGTTAGCCAGAAGAGATAAGGAACTATTTTTAATCAAGCAATGTATGGAAGTGGAAGAAGACAACAGAATAGGAAGGACAAGAGACCTCTTCCAGAAAATTAGAAACATTGGAGGTAAATTTCAGGCAAAAATTGGCATGATATGAAACAAAGATGGCAAGGACCTAACAGAAGCTGAAGAGATCAAGAGAAGGTGGCGAGACTATACAGAAGATCTGTATAGGAAGGATAATAATATCGAGGATAGTTTTGACGGTGTGGTGAATGAATTAGAACCAGACATCCTGAGGAGTGAGGTTGAATGGGCCTTGAGAAGCATTGCTAACAACAAGGCAGCAGGAGATGCTGGGATCCCAGCTGAACTGTTTAAAATCTTAAAAGATGATGCTGTCAAGGTGATGCATGCCATATGCCAGCAAATATGGAAAACACAAGAATGGCAATCAGACTGGAAAAAATCAACTTATATCCCCAAACTAACTCTATAGAAAGCAGTAGCCCTTATTTCTCTACAGTGGCCCTTATTTCTCATGCCAGTAAGGTAATGCTCAAGATCCTGCAAGGAAGACTCCAGCAATACATGGAGCGAGAGTTGCCAGATGTTCAAGCTGGGTTTAGAAAAGGTAGCGGAACGAGAGACCAAATTGCCAATATCCGCTGGATAATGGAGAAAGGCAGGGAGTTTCAGAAAAACATCTACTTCTGCTTCATTGACTATTCTAAAGCCTTTGACTGTGTGGATCATAATAAATTGTGGCAAGTTCTTAGTGGGATGGGCATCCCAAGCCACCTTGTCTCTCTCCTGAGGAATCTGTACAAGGACCAAGTAGCAACAGTAAGAACTGACCATGGAACAACAGAGGGGTTCAAGATTGGGAAAGGCGTACGGCAAGGCTGCATCCTCTCACCCAACCTTTTTAACTTGTATGCAGAACACATCATGCGATGTGCGGGGCTGGATGAATGCAAAGCTGGGGTGAAAAATGCTGGAAGAAACATTAACAACCTCAGATATGCAGATGACACCACTCTGATGGCCGAAAGCGAGGAGGAGCTGAGGAGCCTTCTAATCAAGGTGAAAGAAGAAAGCGCAAAAGCCGGGTTGCAGCTAAACATCAAAAAAACCAAGATTATGGCAACAAGAATGATTGGAGAAAATGTGGAGGCCATGACAGACTTTGTATTTCTAGGCGCAAAGATGACTGCAGATGCAGACTGTGGCCAGGAAATCAGAAGACGCTTCCTTCTTGGGAGGAGAGCAAGGTCCAGTCTCGATAAAATAGTCAAGAGCAGAGACATCAGACTGGAAACAAAGATCCATTGCCTAGTCAAAGCCATGGTCTTCCCTGTAGGAACACCTACGGATGTGAGAGCTGGACCTTCGGGAAGGCTGAGCGAAAGAAGATCGATGCTTTTGAGCTGTGGTGTTGGAGGAAAGTTCTGAGAGTGCCTTGGACTGCGAGAAGATCCAACCAGTCATTCCTCCAGGAAATAAATGCCCTACTGCTCACTGGAGGGAAGGATATTAGAGTCAAAGATGAAGTACTTTGGCCACATAATGAGAAGACAGGAAAGCTTGGAGAAGACAATGATGCTGGGGAAAATGGAAGGAAAAAGGAAGAGTGGCTGACCAAGGGCAAGATGGATGGATGGCATCCTTGAAGTGACTGGACTTGACCTTGAAGGAGCTGGGGGTGGTGACGGCCGACAGGGAGCTCTGGCGTGGGCTGGTCCATGAGGTCACGAAGAGTCGGAGACGACTGAACGAATGAACAACAACAACAACTGATATGCTCATAATATAATATATTGTATATGTGTATAATATTTATAATATTATGTGATGCAATATAAAACTAATAATAATAAAATATAGTAATATACATATAATACTGATATGCTGATAATATAATATTTTCTAAGTCCTATTTCTAATATGGTTACATCCAATATATATTTTCCAATATGTGTATTGTGTATTTTCATCTTGCCTTCATCAGTATATGCGTATAGCATTTGTAATATTATGTGATGCAAAATAAAACTAATAATATTAATACAATAATAGAATTATATATTTTATATTACATGTATTTATTTATTATTTATTTTCAGGTATTTCTATACCGCTTTTCTCACCCCTAGGGGGACTCAAATATTATTACTAATAATATTACAATATAATGGTATAGTACAATATAGTAGTATACGTATAATACTGATATTGTGCTACGCTAATAATATAATATATTGTGTGTGTGTGTAAATATTGTAAATATAAATGCCGTAAATAAATAAATATATGACGGGCTGGTGCAGGAAACATAATCTCCGCGCTCCGCAACATCCCCCCCCTCCCGTGAGAGCGATGCATGCTGGGAACCGTAGTTTTTACAAAGTGGCGTGTGCATTGGGGGAAATCTCACTTGAGACTGTACATCCGGTGACGCGCCGGAAGTAGAGCCTGGGATAGCTCCGAGCGCGTCCTAGCGTGCGGAGAGGGAGATCCAAGATGGCGGCTGCCGGCGCGGCGACGGTGTCCGTGGAGGATCTGCTGGCGCGCGCGGAGGAGCGCGAGGCGGAGGAGCAGCGGCGGCGGGGCGTGACGGTGCAGAAGGAGCTGGAGCTGGAGTTCGACGCGGGCAACCTGCTGGCGCTGGACAGGAACCCCGCCCCGCGCGCCGTGGCGTCGGGCAAAGCCGCGGAGTCTGAGCGCGAGGCGGCCCTGCGGTGCCTGGCGCGCGACAACGCGCAGCTGCTGGCGGCCCACCTGTGGGCGCTGCCCTCGGAGCGGTCGGAAGGCGGCGCGGGCCCCGTGGTGGCGCGCCTGCCGGATCCCGCCACGCGCCTGCCCCGCGAGAAGCCCCTGCCCAAGGCCAAGCCCCTCACGCGGTGGGAGCAGTTCGCCCGCCTCAAGGGGATCCGCCCCAACAGGAAGAAGCGCGGCTCTCTGGTCTGGGACGAGCAGGCCAAGGAGTGGCGCCGGCGGTGGGGCTACCAGCGCGCGGGGGGCAAGGAGCCCTGGGTGATGGAGGTGCCCGACTCGGCCCACCCCTCCGAGGACCCCTACGCGCGGAAGAGGAGCGAGAAGCGCGAGCGCGTGGCCCGCAACGAGCTCAACCGCCTCCGCAACCTGGCCCGCGCCCACAAGGCGGAGATGCACCCCACGGGCAGGCAGGACAAGGCCGAGCTCGCCCGCGCCGCCACCCTCGCCCGCGCCGCCACCGCCTCCAAGGGCCGCTTCCAGCCCCGCCTGCCCCGCGAGGACCCCCACGCGCCTCAGCGCAGCCCCGGGAGGAAGAGGCACTTTCAGCCCCTGCTCGGGGACCTCCAAGCAGAGAAGGCCCGGCAGCTGGAGCTGGCCAAAAGCCTGGGCAGCAAGAAGCCCCTCATTAACATCGCCCGCGCCGTCGGGAAGCAGCTCCGGGAGGAGGACGAGGAGGCCAAGGCCCGAGGAGGAGGACGAGGAGGAGGGAAGAAGAAGGGCCAGCGCGGGAAGAGGGCCAGCAAGCAGCAGCAGAGGCCTCGGGGCCCCAAGGGCAAGAAGGCCGCAGGAAGAGGAGGAGGAGGCGGTGGGAAGGGCAGGAGGAAGAAGTGACCGCCAGCACATGTACTTTTGCTCCCAAAATAGGAAAACAGTGGCCTTGGGTTTTCTGACCACAATAAAGACAGTGTCCTGGGATGTTGTGGCGTGTCCTGGGATGTTGTGATTCACCTCCTTGCAGTCTTGAACCTGAAGAATAGGCATAGGCAAACTTCCAGGTGTTTTGGACTTCAGCTCCCACCATTCCTAACAATCTTAGGCCCCTTCCTTTCCCTCTCAGTCGCTTAAGCCCAAACACCTGGAGGACCCAAGTTTGCCCATGCCAGTGTCCTGGGATGTTATGATTTGGCCTGGGATGTTGTGATTTACCTTCTTGCAGTCTTGAACCTGTAGGCATGGGCAAACTTCCAAGTGTTTTGGACTTCAGCTCCCACCATTCTTGAGCAAACTTGGGTCCTCCATGTGTTTTGGACTTTGACTTCCACCATTCCTAACAACCTTAGGCCCCTTCCTTTTCCCTCTCAGTCGCTTAAGCCCAAACACCTGGAGGACCCAAGTTTGCCCATGCCAGTAGTTTGGGATGTTGTGATGCACCTTCTTGCAGTTTTGAACCTGTAGAATAGGCATGGGCAAACTTCCGGGTGTTTTGGACCTCAGCTTCCACCATTCCTGGGCAAACGTGGACCCTCCAGGGGTTTTGGACTTCAATTCCCATCATTCCTAACAGCCTTAGGCCCCTTCCTCCAGCCAAAACTTGGAGGACTCAAGTTTGTCCATGCCAGTGTCCTGGGATGTTGTGATGTGCCTTCTTGCAGTCTTGAACCTATAGCACAGCCATGGGCAAACTTCCAGGTGTTTTGAACTTCAGCTTCCACTATTCCTGGGCAAACTTTGGTCCTTCATGTGTTTTGGACTTCGACTCTCACCATTCCTAACAGCCTCAGGCCCCTTCCTTTTCCCCCTCAGCCACTTAAACCAAAACACTCAGAGGACCCAAGTTAGCCCATGCCTTCCATAGAGTCACCAAACTCCCAGGATTCCCAGTTTCCCCAGGCCTGGTGTAGATGCACCTATAGCTTTTGTCTTTCCCCTGAAGTCCTACTTTTATTTCCCAATGAGTCACAATGATGCCTCCAAAGTAGCAGATCCTTGGTCCAGTTATCATAATTCAGGAAGTTTGCTTCCTATATAGGAGGAAGGAAGGCCAGGAGGAAGAAGTGGAAGCTGGCACATGTACTTTTGCTCCCAAAATAAGAAAACAGTGGCTTTCGGTTTTCGGAACATAATAAAGACAGTGTCCCGTGATGTTGTGATGTGCCTTCTTGCGGTCTTGAACCTGTAAGACAGGCATGGGCAAGCTTGGGCCCTCTTGAGTGTTTTGGACTTTGATTCCCACCATTCCTAACAACCCCAGACTCCTTTTCTCCCTGAGGCTGCTAGGAATGGTGGAAATCGAAGTCCAAAACACTCAAGAGGGCCCAAATTTGCCCACACTTGCGTGAACCTGATTAAAGGGGAGATAAGCAACTTGTCCCTCCAAGATGGGTAATAGCAATGACTCAGACTGAAATAGACTCAAGTCTTGATAAAAGGGCCTGAGGGTGTTTTCGTTTACCAAAATGAAAACTCATTACCACAGTGTGCTTGTCATTACCGTGTGCCTATTATTTGAAGGCAGTATTAGTCTGTTAATCTTTGAGGAAGAATTGTAAAGATCTGGTCTTTTTCATTTTTCTGGAGATGTCAATAATTCTCTATTTTTTATTATTGGGATATTAAGTGCCAAACTCTTCAAAATAAAATCCTTTTATTTATTTATTTTTGCTTTGTCTTTTATGAGATTTGAAATGACCTCTGTTGTTGGCAATTAAAGTGTGTCTCTCATAAAATATGGATATTGTAATATAGATAATGCAAATACAGGAGAAATCAAGTAATCCCAGACTTCATACATAGTACAACAAGTCATCTTTTGGGTTGCTGTGAGTTTTCTGGGCTGTGTGACCATGTTCCAGAAACATTCCGGAATGCTTTTGGAACATGGCCATTCAGCCCAGAAAACTCACAGCAACCTAGTGATTCCAACCATGAAAACCTTTGACAAGTGATACTTTCTTGGAGAACACTAAGTGTACACTAGCACCCAATGACATAATGTTCTCAGATTTATGTGCTTTTTCCTGTGGCCACTAGGTAAGTTTGCTCTTTTTTTTGGGGGGGGGGGGAAGCAAAGCAGATAGAGCAGTAAAATAAAATCTAAAGTCCATGCTGTGGTGGTACTTTTATTAGGTCATGCAAAAAGAGCAAAATAAATGTCAATTCTGAAGGTTTCAATCATCTTAATGAGGCAAAGATGGCACCAAATAAACCCTCCAGGAGGAGTTAAATGCCTGCACAGTTGTCCAAGGCAGGCACAGTTTTGAGTGTTTGTACTGTGTAACTCCTTATGAAGATTCAAAAGATTATTAGCCTTTTTATTTTCTTTGTTACCCCCCAGGTTTAGTTTATTTATTTGATATCAAAAGCATTGCATAAATTAGTATAAAACTGATATAAAAAATAGAAGCATAAGCTGGTACATATCTTTTGATGAAAAACAGGCAACAGCGACTGCATTGTCTGTAGCCTTAAACAATTCTTCCTCTGTACATGAAGCAGGACATTGCGGACAAGCATACAGATGCGGAAGTTGTCTGTTCTGCTCCACAGTTACACAAGGTGGACGATTCTTCTAGGAAGTGCCATTTTGTCATGTTGTCTTGATCTGCCCACTCCACTTCTGAGTCTATTCAGGGACTTCCAAGTTGCCCATTCTTGGTTTTCCCCTGGAGGAAGACCTGTGTGTGGGGGGGGGGGATCCATTTGGGATTTCCTGGTTTAGCTGCCCAGAGGGATACTCTTGCTGTTGCTGGGGGAACATTAAGAGGAGTGGTGGTTCTGATGAAGATTTCCCTTGATTTGAGTCTACTGGGAGGAGGTTGATAGCCATGCAGTGGATGGCTTTCACAGTGTTCAACCTTATTTCTCTCATAGCAACAACTTCCCATCACACATTGGAGGGGGGGGGGGAGCAATGCCAGCTAACTTGTAGAGTCTATCAACAGGTGTAGGTTTGAGACACCTTGTGATTATTCTGCATGTTTCTTCAGTGCCATATTCACCTGCTTTGCCTGAACAGACATGCCAAACATGGCAGGCATACTCAACAGTTGAGTAAGGCAAGGCCAGGGCTGATGTTCTTATTAATTTTGGGTCTGCATATAGTATATAACTCCATGTAACAAATTTTTGTTCCTGAGTTATAAATGCCATTTCCTAATTGGTTCTATCATAACCAATGTTGTGTGTTGTGTGTCTTAAGTTTCTTTTTACAGATCCTTGCTCAACAACCTCTCAAATAAAAATGTAGATATCTGGAGTGTAACACCATCGTTTCCCCTGCTTGTGTTTTTTATCATATGAGCCTCATGAAAAAAACAACTTCCAAAGCTAGCATGGATGGCTTTTTAAAAGTATTGCCATATTATGCACTTCCCTTATGAAAGATAGATAGGATTGCTATTCTTGAAAAACAGACTGAGCTACCGGGGGCCCTTCCATACAGCCCTATATCTCAGAACATCAAGGCAGAAAATCCCATAATACCTGATTTGAACTGGGTTATCTGAGCCCACACCCTATAATGTGGGATTTTTTGCCACATTATTTCCCATTTTGTTCTGGGAAATAAGGCTGCGTGGAAGGGCCCTGAATGAAGCATGGCTAATTTGCCCATAAAAGGGTACACACCAAACTAGCTTAAAGCCAGTTTTAATCCAAACTAGAACATACACATTGAAACAAGTGGGGTTTATAAATGGTAAATTTAAAAAGCTTATGCATTTCAGTGAGTCTGCTCAAGTTGGAAAAAATCCTGCACATAGTCCTTTATCTTTAATGTGCTATAGTAATCTTATACACAGCATCAAGTCAATGTAGCTTCCTTTGAAACCTCTTACTGAGATACATAAAATCATCTCATGTAAGGCCAAAGGAGTCAAATCATTGATTTCAGGTATATCACATCACACTTTGAGAACTTGTGTTGCTATATAACCTTTGTTGTATAAAGGGAAAATATGAGGAGGGTGGTATCATTTCGATCATATGTCTGCAGCAGGAAATAAAATGCGTTTCCCTTACCCATGCTCCAAAAATATTTCCCTTCCATCCAAAAAGTGTTTATGGCTCTCTGCAAGTTCTCAAGTACAATTCTACTGTATTCTGAAAATATAGGGTTCACTGTTATACAAGTTTCAAGTTACTAATAGGATGTCTTGGAACATATCCCTTGTGGATCCAGGGATCATCCCGTCTGTATTGTGTTTAAAGACTTCCATGCTATTCTGCTAGTAATCTGATCCTGTTCAGTGAGCTGTTCCAAAGGAACAACCGACCTCTCTCTCTTGCTGTTTACACTGTCCTTCCCGTCATGCCTTGCTGACCCAAGAAAAGTCTGCCGGAGCCATGGCAGGAGGACGGGAGAGAGTCGCTCTTTTGTTGAAGCAACTGCACCGAGCCTCGTGAGTGTTTCTGTCTGCTCCCATTCTCTGCTTGCTCATGTCTGAATGGCTCTCATAAAGCTGCCTTCCCAAACACAGCACCTTTATAACCTTCAAAACACAAACACTGCAGTTTCCTTCTTTTTAATACTTGAGAAATCTTCAGTTCGTAGAGTGAAAAAAAATCTTTATTTTTAGAACTGTGACTCTTCAGAAGTTGTAAACTTTTCTTACAAGTAGCCTTGTAAGAAAACAGGCAAGAAGAAAGAATGTTTCAAAAAAGTGTTTTTATCACAGGAATGATCTTTGAGACTTTCTCAAAGTATGTAGCAGGTTACAGGGTTTTTTATGGGCGCAAAGGGCAGACAGACACAACATGTAAATATTTTTGTTTTGTATCTTCATGTTGATTTCAGATTATTTCCTGCAGTTTCCTGCAGATTATTTTCTTGGCAAGGTTTATTCAGAAGAGGTTTGCCATTGCCTTCATTTGAGGCTGAGAGTGTGACTTCCCCAACCCTTCTTTCCTTGACTCAGATTAACAGCTACACTATACTTTCTCTATTGTATATATGTAGGTAGATATCCACAGTATTTCTATTATCTCCAGGGAGCGGGGTGAGCTCCCGCTGTTTGGCCCAGCTTCTGCCAACCTTGTTGTTGTTCATTCGTTCAGTCGTCTCCGACTCTTCGTGACCTCATGGACCAGTCCACGCCAGAGCTCCCTGTCGGCCGTCACCACCCCCAGCTCCTTCAAGGTCAGTCCAGTCACTTCAAGGATGCCATCCATCCATCTTGCCCTTGGTCGGCCCCTCTTCCTTTTGCCTTCCACTTTCCCCAGCATAATTGTCTTCTCTAGGCTTTGCTGTCTCCTCATGATGTGGCCAAATTACTTCAACTTTGTCTCTAGTATCCTTCCCTCCAGTGAGCAGTCGGGCTTTATTTCCTGGAGGATGGACTGGTTGGATCTTCTCGCAGTCCAAGGCACTCTCAGAACTTTCCTCCAACACCACAGTTCAAAAGCATCTATCTTCCTTCACTCAGCCTTCCCTAAGGTCCAGCTCTCACATCCGTAGGTGACTACAGGGAATACCATGGCTTTGACTAGGCGGATCTTTGTTGCCAGTCTGATGTCTCTACTCTTTACTATTTTATCGAGACTGGACATTGCTCTCCTCCCAAGAAGTAAGCGTCTTCTGATTTCCTGGCCACAGTCTGCATCTGCAGTAATCTTTGCACTTAGAAATACAAAGTCTGTCACGGCCTCCACATTTTCTCCCTCTATTTTCCAGTTGTCAATCCTTCTTGTTGCCATAATCTTGGTTTTTTTGATGTTTCGAAAACATGCAAGTGTGAGTAGATCAATAGGTACCATTTCTGCAGCAAGGTAACGGCGCTCCATGCTGTCATGCTGGCCACATGGCTTTGGAGATGTCTATGGACAACGCCAGCTCTTCGGCTTAGAAATGGAGATGAGCATCACCCCACAGAGTCGGACACAACTAGACTTAACGTCAAGGGAACCCTTCATGTCCACCATATCTTCCAGGTCACATTTCTTTTAGGAGATACATTATTAAAATACAATAATTAAAAATGCCAAAAGTAAGAATGTACATTTTTCCAGCTACAGGAAAATGACCATTAGTAATTAAATGTGAAGAGGGGTTTTTTTTTCCTTACTGGTTTCTAACATATATCAAAACACAAAATCAATTACATATGCGACGTTTTGGGGAGGTAGGACTGATCCATACTTTTTTTTCATAGATCCAAAGATAGTACTTTAAGTATAAGAATTAGTTTCCTATAATATCATAATCTTCCTCTCCTCTTATATTGGGATAATCTGGCTGTTAGTAGATTCAGGACAGATCACAAAAAGTTGCAATATGCTTTTTGCTTTCCAGTATTTTCTGTTAAGCAACAACAGGAGGAGCCCCCAGTGGCTCAACAGGTTAAACCCTTGTCCCAAACCAAAAGGTTGGCTATTCGAATCCAGGGAGCTCCCATCTGTCAGCTCCAGCTCCCTATGCAGGGACATTTGAGAAGCCTTCCATAGGATGTTTTCTGGGTAATGTCCTTGCAGACAGCCAATTCTCTCACACCAGAAGCGACTTGCAGTTTCTCAAGTCGCTCCTGATTAAAAAAAAAGTAACAGCAGCATCTAGACTGTCCTATTCTGTTTGTGGTCCTCTCAGTAGCATCTGGTTAACCACTGTGGCTTTGTGGGAAGGAAGATTCTGAAACTACATAAGTTTTGGTTCTTACCAAACAGGGGTCTCTTCATTTGTTTATACGTTTTCTGGATTGTACAGTCTTATTAAGATAAAACGAATGCTAGATCAAATGTGTTGGTCTTTAAAGTAACAAAAGACATTTTGTTGTTATTCCTTTACTATTCTTCTAAATGGGCCTGGTCAGTTTCTAGGTCTTATTAAATCTTACTAAAGCATATTCAGATTAGACTGGAACATTGTATGATCATTAGCTAAGCATTTTAGTAAGTGAAAAAAAAGTATTACCACTTTGAGACACTAGGTGGCAAGATGCAGTTGTGAAATAAGCTATTAATTACTTCTCCCTATAATACTACTACTAATAATAATAATTTATAACAATATTGTGCTGATACTCCTTGAGTTTTCTGTCATTTATTACACAAACTGATTTCCTTTTTCCTTTTCATTAGATGTGCATGCCCTGCTCATTCCCATGTTTATTCACAAGGTAAGTCTAGAATTCTTCCGAATCTTTGCATCTGTAGTCCTTGGTTTAAAGCCCTTCCAAATTCAAGTTTCTATTCTGTATACATGACACCAACTATCCAATGTGGTTCTCAAAAGCTAGAGCCAAGAGATTTAGTGATGTATTAGTAGCATCCTGAGGTTTCTGCTTATAAAGCTTGTTTATAAAGCTATTGCCCTTCCAACTCTATTGTACGTCTATGAAACATAGACCATCTACAAACGTCACTCAACTTCCAGAAAGATTCCATCAGCATTGCTGCCAAAAAAATCCTGCAGATCTCTTGAGAAGTCTGGTGAACAAAAATCAGCATTCTAGAAGAAGCAAAGACCACCAGCATTGAAGCAATGATGCTCTGCCATTAACTTTGCTGGATTGGCCACGTTATCTGAATGCCTGATCACTATCTCCCAAAACAGTTCCTTTACTCTCATCTCAAAAATGGAATGTTGATGGACAGGAAAAGAGATTAAAAGATGGGCTTTAAGCTACCCTAAAAAGTGTGGAATAAACACTGAGAACTGGGAAGCCCTGGCCCTCGAGCACTCAAACTGGAGATCAGATTTTTCCAACAGTGCTGTGGATTTTGAAGTGGCACAAATGGAGGGGAAAAGGGAGGAACTGGTCTAGAAAAAAGCGTGTCAAGCAAATCCATGTCAGGAGTGCTTTCAATCTGGAAATTGGTGTTCTCATTGTGAAAGACTATGCAGATCCATAATAGGTCTCTTCAGTCTCTTATGGACCCACCACCAAGACTCTACCCTTGGAAGACAATCATACTGGGCCATGAGTGATCACCTATGATGATGATGATGTTTCTGTACCATTTTAAGATTTTGGGAGTAGTATTCTTGGGGAAGCTTTCTATCTTATTCCACATACTTAACTCCTTCATGATTTCATCATTAAAGGAAACAAACTATGTTTGTATTCTGTTACACAGCAAGAAGTTAAACTGTGTCTCAGGGATACTGATGCTCATTTGAGTGCAAACACTGGCGATAGTAGCTCTATTGCAATCCTCTTGTGAGGAATAATGGGGTACCTCTTTCCTCTCCATTTAGAAAGGATTGGCCCAATAATTTTCCTGACTGATACAAAAGATAAGATGGTGCATTCCTACCCCATCCCTAGGTGACTCCATATACAAAGGGCAATCAGTTTGGCTTGTGAATCCACTTACAAAACTAGTAGGCATAGAGCAGTTTATACATGCATAGTACTTTTAGCTCCATTCTGTGTGAACCTATCAAATTCCTGGGATGGCTCTTTTACTTTGCCTGATGGCAAGGCTAATCCTGTCTTTCTGTAAGAAGTCTGCTTCCCCTTTTCAACATCTGGACGACAGCAGAAGTGAGGAGTTAGTGTGCTGATCTAATTCTTCCAGTTGTTGGGCAGAACAGTCAACAACAAATAAATAGGGCCAGTGCAGTTATCTATAAGACTGACCCATCTCATAATAAGCTTGGATTGTTACTTTAAAAAGATAATGCTTCATAATTATAGTTCAAAGACCTGAAACAGTACCATTTTAGTGACAATTTTAAAAACTTGTCCCCATTTCTCAAATTAATTAAAATATTTACCTTCTACTTAATTTAGACATAGAAAACACTTTCCCCTATCCATCTATTATTATTATTATTATTATTATTATTGTGTTTATTTATATCCCGCTTTTTCTCTCTCAAAGCAGCTCACAACTAAAGCATAGCAATCCAACTTAAAATATAAAAATATATAAGTATTAAAACAGTATTAAACATCTTTAAAAGCATGCTCGGGGGCGGGGGTTACATAACTATTGTTATCTAAATACCCATAAGAGAGCACAAGCCAAAGAACTTGAGCCACATAATTTTCTTACTCTGCTGCCTAAAAAGACAAGACTTAATAGGGCATGACATTACCTCAAGTATCCCTGAGTTAAACTTGACGGTGTGTTTTCCATAATTTTATTAGTATTGAATTATCATGGAGTTCATATGTCCTGTATCAGTGGAGAAGCTAAGAAGAAATTGTTCCTTGGCAGAAATAAAATGGCCAAAGTTTGAGAGGGCAGAGCATTTTCAGCCAGGTTTGCTGGCAATAGAGTCTGGAAATGTTACTTTGGAGGATGACTCACTGGGAGCCATATGAACACTTACCAACATTTGCACTGTTGAATTAGTGCTTTGGGGGTGCTTTGAATGTGATTTTCCTGCTTCTTGGCAGGGGGTTGGACTGGATGGCCCACAAGGTCTCTTCCAACTTAATGATTCTATGAATTACTGGAGTAATGCAGGCGTATATGATTTTTTTCCAGCTCTTATTTGTTTTGGTAATGTTATATACTTTGTGTATGCCACAATAAACATTTTATTAGACAAGTATCCTATGTAGTTTTCTCTAAAAAAAAATAACCACAGTGATAAGATTGTGAATGAATGAGGTTATTGTGATTTCTCTCCAAGAAATAGTCTGTGTTTTACAAGGTTACGTGCTGCAGGGAAAACAATATAATTTTTCAAGCTCAATAAAGTCTTTAGCAGAAGCTTAGCTCCATCAAATAATGCAACAGCAGGACATCTATCAGACCATCAAAAGGAGATTGTGTAAGTGGCTTGGACATGTATTTGGGATGTCAAATTAATTACAGAAACTACAACAGACTCGGACATTAGAGGAAGTCAACCATGAAGAGGGCTGGCAAAGAGACAGTGGAAAAAGTAGCCAAGGGTAAGCAGACCTATGTGTGAATAGAGAGCACAAAAAGGATGTTTAAAGATATTTATATGTTGAATTATTTGGGTCACCACTCCTGTGTGCCCCACAGTAGTTGTAGACACATTGACCATGAATTCAAAGACGAAATAATTGATTCAGGTACCATATGGAAGAAGTAGTTTGCTCTTTGGTTGGATTAAGAAAAGCATGACTTCACTTTCTGGGGAAAATACTTACTTTTTTATTGTATGTGTGCACCACTTTAAAAGAAAACAAGGGCTGTGAGCTACTTAAGACTAGATGCATTGAAATCAACCATTGACTTTCAATGGCCGACTCTAAATATGATTAAATATGAATCCAATCTTAATCTGCCCCCTCCCCAAGATCTGCAAGGACAGCTTCAAAAAAGAAATGACAACCCAGTGCAAGTGATATATAACATGCAGATAAAATGATAAGTGAGAAGTCAGATGTATTACTCATGCATAGATATCGCCTGTTGCACAGTGCATGGGCTCCTGCCAGCAATTGTAAAACTAACCGAGAATACACCAATAAAGTGCTCCTAACAGAAGGCCATCCATCCTCTTGTTTCAAGACATATAAAAAAGAAAACTCTGCCACCTTCAAATCAAGATATTCTTCCTTATGTAATTTGAATCCATTGGTTCATATTTTGAGCCACATTGACAGTTCACTAATTTAATGCTAGATTCCATTTCAGCTGCCATGACAGTGTCCCAAGGTTTACATTCTGGTGAGGAGCTACTTCTCTGGCTGAGAAATATAACTAGTCATGGGCAATCCATGGTTCTAAATGGTACTAAAGTACTTACACAACTAGGGGGTGCTGGTGCTTTGCTTCTAAAGTGTTGCTAAAGTTCTGGTGGTGAGAATTTCAGAACTCTAACAAAACTTTCAAAATTTCATTATAAATGCAGCTCCTAATTGGTTCTGTCATAAAAATTGCCATTAACGCAATAATAATAAAATTGCGAAAGCTAGAGTTCTGAGATTTTCACCACCAGAAGTTTAACAACATTTTAGAAGCAAAGCAACAGCACCTTCTAATTTTATAAGTACTTTAGAACCATGGACCACCACCCCCCTTAAAACTGCAGACCCAAGGATCAATATCTTTAGATCCAAACACAGATTATGTGCTTTAAAAAACAAAGATTTTTTTTGTCGTGTCAGGAGCGACTTGAGGAACTGCAAGTCGCTTCTGGTGTGAGAGAATTGGCTGTCTGCAAGGACGTTGCCCAGGGGATGCCCGGATGATTTTGATGTTTTTATCCTTGTGGGAGGCTTCTCTCATGCCCCCGCATGAGGAGCTGGAGCTGATAGAGGGAGCTCATCTGCGCTCTCCCCAGATTCAAACCTGCGACCTGTCGGTCTTCAGTCCTACCGGCACAGGGGTTTAATCCACTGCGCCACTGGGGGCTCCAAAAACAAAGATGAACAAAGAGGTTTGGGGAAGGAACTACTGCCAGGTTATTTTACTGAAATCATTATTACACAATTCTACAAAGATAAAATACTTTCTCTTGCCATCTACCCCACTTTTCAACTCCAGTATTTAGACCAATTGCTTAATGAGAAATGGCAAAATTTTGCCTATAGTATTTAGTCAGAAATTTTATTTTCTGGAGTATCATTTCCAGACTGCCCAAACTAGTTGCCATGCCATCTGGTGGATTCCAAGCATTACAGTTCAGGAAAGCAATTTCCCAAAATTCTGAGTTTAGGAACAAAGCTTTCAACTGTAAATATCAAACAAATTAATTTCTTTTCCATTGTGGTATTTGCCACTTCTTTTTTATTTTACAAATGAAGAATTGTCAAAGAGATTTCAAATGAAGACATTTGTGCAAGATTAAATCCATGAAAGTTGGCCACATGTAATCTTGGCATGTTGGGAAGTAGCAGCCTATAATGAAAGGACCAAGGCATTGACATCTCCGGTCCATCCTCTGTTCAGACATCAGCTAGCAAGCCAACACCTTAAATCAAGAAATAGTTTCCTAAGATCTACAGAGATACTCGCAGGAACACTTCAGCAAATGATAGTCCAAAAGTGGCAGGCTAAACCCAGAACCTCAATCAGTGGCTGATACCGGATAAGAAACTCCCTCCTGGGCACACAGAAGACTGGGCGACTTTGAAGGTGCTGAACAGACTATGCTCTGGCACCACGAGATGCAGAGCTTGCCTTAAGAAATAGGACTACAAAGCATATTCCACGACATGTGAGTATGAAGAATAGCAAGCCACAACCACTTACTACAATACAGTCTGAGCCCTGCCATATGCACAATGGAGAACCTTCCTACAGCGACACCAGAGGCCAGTTACTGATCAAAGGACATTTAGTATAAGTTTTTAACTTTGTGGTTTTTCTATACATTATAACTGTATTCTCAATTTGCTTCTGATATGATCATAGAATCATAGAATCAAAGAGTTGGAAGAGACCTCATGGGCCATCCAGTCCAACCCCCTGCCAAGAAGCAGGAATATTGCATTCAAATCACCCCTGACAGATGGCCATCCAGCCTCTGCTTAAAAGCTTCAAAGAAGGAGCCTCCACCACACTCCGGGGCAGAGAGTTCCACTGCTGAACGGCTCTCACAGTCAGGAAGTTCTTCCTAATGTTCAGATGCAATCTCCTCTCTTGTAGTTTGAAGCCATTGTTCCGCGTCCTAGTCTCCAAGGAAGCAGAAAACAAGCTTGCTCCCTCCTCCCTGTGGCTTCCTCTCACATATTTATACATGGCTATCATATCTCCTCTCAGCCTTCTCTTCTTCAGGCTAAACATGCCCAGCTCCTTAAGCCGCTCCTCATAGGGCTTGTTCTCCAGACCCTTGATCATTTTAGTCTCCCTCCTCTGGACACATTCCAGCTTGTCAATATCTCTCTTGAATTGTGGTGCCCAGAATTGGACACAATATTCCAGGTGTGGTCTAACCAAAGCAGAATAGAGGGTAGCATTACTTCCTTAGATCTAGACACTATGCTCCTATTGATGCAGGCCAAAATCCCATTGGCTTTTTTGCCTCCACATCACATTGTTGGCTCATGTTTAACTTGTTGTCCACGAGGACTCCAAGATCTTTTTCACACGTACTGCTCTCGAGCCAGGCGTCCCCCATTCTGTATCTTTGCATTTCATTTTTTCTGCCAAAGTGGAGTATCTTGCATTTGTCACTGTTGAACTTCATTTTGTTAGTTTTGGCCCATCTCTCTAATCTGTCAAGATCGTTTTGAATTCTGCTCCTGTTCTCTGGACTATTGGCTATCCCTCCCAATTTGGTGTCGTCTGCAAACTTGATGATCATGCCTTCTAGCCCTTCATCTAAGTCATTAATAAAGATGTTGAACAGGACCGGGCCCAGGACGGAACCCTGCGGCACTCCACTTGTCACTTCTTTCCAAGATGAAGAGGAAGCATTAGTGAGCACTCTCTGTGTTCGTCCACTTAACCAATTACAGATCCACCTCACCGTAATTTTGCCTAGCCCACATTGGACTAGTTTCCTTGCCAGAAGGTCATGGGGGACCTTGTCGAAGGCCTTACTGAAATCCAGGTACGCTACATCCACGGCATTCCCCGCATCTACCCAGCTTGTAGCTCTATCGAAGAAAGAGATCAGATTAGTCTGGCATGACTTGTTTTTGATAAATCCATGTTGACTATTAGCGATGACTGCATTTGTTTCTAAGTGTTTGCAGACCGCTTCCTTAACAATCTTTTCCAGAATCTTGCCCGGTATTGACGTGAGGCTGACCGGACGGTAGTTGTTTGGGTCATCCTTTTTTCCCTTCTTGAAGATTGGGACCACATTGGCCCTCCTCCAGATCTGCTGGAACTTCTCCCGTTCTCCAAGAACTCTCAAAGATGGTTGCCAATGGTTCCGAAATGACTTCCGCTAGTTCCTTCAATACTCTGGGGTGTAGTTGATCCGGCCCTGGGGACTTGAACTCATTAAGAGCGGCCAGGTATTCCTGGACGACTTCTTTCCCAATTTGGGGTTGGATGTCCTCCAATCCCTCATCCACTCCATCTTGCTGAGGTTGAAGACTCTCTTTTTGTGAGAAGACCGAGGCAAAGAAGGCATTAAGTAGTTCTGCCTTTTCCCTATCCCCTGTCAGCATTGCCCCATCTTCTCCTCGAAGAGGTCCTATCGCCTCCTTGTTTTTCCTTTTTCTACTGACATAAGAATAGAGCCCTTTTTATTGTTTTTAATGTCCCTGGCAAGCCTGAGCTCGTTTTGTGCTTTAGCCTTGCGGACCTTTTCCCTACAGGTGTTGGCTATTTGTTTGAATTCTTCTTTGGTGATTTCTCCCTTTTTCCACTTCTTGTGCATGTCTCTTTTGTGTCTTAGCACAGTTAGAAGTTCTTTGGACATCCATTCTGGCTTCTTTGCACTTGTCCTATTTTTTCTCTTTGTTGGCACGGTTTGCAATTGCGCCTTGAGTATTTCACTCTTGAGAAATTCCCATCCATCCGTAACTCCCTTGTCTTTTAGTATCTGTGTCCACGAAATGCTGCTCAGCGTTTCCTTCATTTTTTGGAAATCAGCTCTCCTAAAGTCCAAAATGCGGGTTTGACTTGTCTTAGTTTCGGCCTTCCTTTGTACCTCAAATTGCAGGAGCACATGGTCACTTGCCCCTAAGGATCCTACCACTTCGACAGCATCGATCAGGTCCTCCGCATTTGTTAGGATGAGATCAAGAGTAGCCAATCCCCTTGTTGCCTCTTCTACTTTCTGGACCATGAAATTGTCTGCAAGGCAAGCGAGGAATTTGTTGGACCTTGTACTCTTGGCCGAGTTTGTTTTCCAGCAAATATCGGGATAGTTGAAATCGCCCATGACTACTACATCTCTTTTCTGTGCCTGTTTGGTCAACTGTTGGCAGAAGACTTCATCAAGTTCTTCCTCCTGGCTTGGGGGTCTGTAGTAGACGCCTACAACGACATCTTTTTGAGTCCCAGTTCCCTTGATTCTTATCCAGATGATTTCAAGCTGGTTTCCCAGATTGCTGTCTTGAATCTCTTCTGCAGCATAAGAGTTTTTTGACATATAAGGCTACTCCGCCTCCTCTCCCCTTTGTTCGGTTTCTGTGAAAGAGGTTATACCCCTCGATATCTACATTCCAGCGATAGGAGTCATCCCACCAGGTTTCAGTGATCCCTATGATATCATATTTGTGGTGTTGTGCTAAAAGTTGGAGTTCGTCTTGTTTATTTCCCATGCTCTGTGCATTAGTGTAAAGACATGTGAGCCCCTGGGATCTTCCCTTGAGCTGTTTAATTGGGGTTATTGTGCTTTTGGTACTTGGTCCTTGTTGTGTTTGTGCAGCCCTCCGTTTAGCCTTCTGGCGATTCCCAGACATTATGGGTAAAGTAGTGTTCACAAGGCTGTTGTCCCCCTCCCCCGGTGGACCTAGTTTAAAGTGCGTCTAATGATAAATTAATAAATAATTTTCTCAGCACATAGTTCTGAAGCTTACATGGAAACTTTTTGTATGAAAATACAATTTTTGTATACAGGTGCCAGTGCATTGCACACGTTGTCTATAATAACAGGTGTTTGCCTTGACTGTTCGCCTTGTTTTTGCTTGTTGTAAACCGCTATGAGTCGCCTTAGGGCTGAGAATGGCGGTATACAAATGAAGTAAATAAATAAATAAATAAATTTCTTGGAAACAGATAAAATGTCTTTAGACCAGCCATGGCTTGTTAAATTTGATATATATTTACTGTTACAGGTATTGGACATGCTGCATCAGGGAAAACAGAGTATGCTTTTGAGGTAAACTTTATGAATATGTCAATTTGCAAACAAAATAACAACACTGTTCATGTTAAATATCCTGCGTATTAAAAGTAATGCATATGTTAGACGTATTCACTATATCCAGTATTAATCCTATGTAGATTAATACTCCAAAGGAAATGATATTTATTAGTTACAACTACAAGTCCTACTATTTAATGGGAAAATATGTTTTTCTTAATTGTTCTAGATGGCTGTTTCCAATATCCGATATGGAAAAGGAGTTACTAAAGAAGTGGGCATGGTAAGCTATCATTGACATGGTGCCATCAGAATCACTACTTTAATTTTTGAAAGACACTTCTTCTATAATGTACACTTTTCATCTGTGTACATAGGAGAAATTTAATTCCTAATCACATCTTGGAAGAAATATGTTACAGGTAATTATGTTACCTGTAATGCATCTCTTTGAAAAGTAATGAGGAGTCAATTGCATCATTTTCCCCATGTTTTCTCCCATATTTTCCTGTACAACAGGCATGTGGTGTTTACTGTGTTTAATGTTCATCATGATTTTCATATTCGTTTTTCTTGGGGATCATCTGGGCTTGATGATTTTTAATGATTTTTTTATTGTGTCAAAAGCAACTTGAGAAACTGCAAGTCGCTTCTGCTGTGAGAGATTGGCGATCTGCAGAGACGTTACCCAGAGATGCCCAAATGTGTTATCATCCTGTGGGATGCTTCTCTCATGTCCCCTCATGGGAAGCTGGAGCTGACAGATGAGAGCTCACCCCATCTCACAGATTTGAACCGCCGACCTTTTGGTCAGCAGTTCAGCCAGAATAAGAGTTTAAGCCATTGCACCACCATGGCTCCTATTAAAGATAGAATTGTTTCCTACCAGATTACCAGAAGAAATGCCAGTCACACTTGCAACAGATGCATTCCTGCAGCAATTGATATGTTATCTGAGGCCATTTTACCGTGATCCTAATGCTGATGGATCTCTGCTGTGTGTGGCCATTCCTACTCACAAAAATAAAAATACAGGATTTAGGGGCATTCCACATTGCCTCCATATGGGGCCCAATTTTATGACCACATAAGAAACACAACCCTAATTCATGCAGCAATCAACACATGGATTTGCATTTCCACAAATATATCAGATTTATCAGATTTATCAGAAAGTGATGGATGTAGTGTGGAAAGTGGACGGTTTCATATTTGGCTGTTTAGTATTTTATGGAAGTTTTTCTGTTGTTCTGGGATTGCTTTCCTTTCTGTTCTTTTTCTCTTTTTGTTATCTTGCTCTAGGATCTGCATAATTTGGGTGCCAAAAAGGTTTGTGTGATGACAGATAAAAACCTTTCTCAGCTTCCTCCTGTGAAAGCAGTTCTGGATTCTCTGACCACAAATGGTATAAACTTCCAAGTGTATGACAAAGTCAGAGTGGAGCCAACAGACCAAAGGTGCCTACGCTTTCTCACGTCATTCAACCTGCCATTTACTCCTTGATTTCTAAGCTTCTACAAAGAAAAGCTTTTGATGAGCGATACCAATTCTTCAGCTTTGACAGTTTAATAGTCAATTTAATTGGCATATGGTTGCACTACTCTTAAGCCTCGCGGTATTCCCTATTTTTATTTCATGGGTACATTTACTGCACTTCATAGTCAAATAAGAAACTGCCCTGAAACAGATTTGTTTATCTGGCTCAAAGGTGGGAATTCTCTTCCCTGGGCAGGAGTTCGGTGTTGCCTTGGGGTTCCTAGATCTCAAAGTGTTTTGAAAGAGTTCACATGAAGTTTTCTTCCACTTAAAAAAGGCCTCCTGGAAGTGTGTTTTAGGAGATTTACTGAAACAAAATTCTCCCCCAATTCTGTAAAATGGTCCCTCAATGCTCAACACACATGTACCCCTATCTAGCCCAATTTTCTAGTGGAAAATCCTTTTGGATATAATTATGCTAGGTTAAGAGCAAAAAAAGAGGAATTGGATAAAATGGAAATAGACGAAGTACAAGAAAATTTAATTTATTTAAGGAGGGAATATTTCGAGTTTAGTGATAGGAATTCAAAGATGCTAGCCAAATCAACACAGAAAAAGAAAATGGAAGGAATGATAAATACGATAAAAGATAAAACAGGTAAATTATGTAGAGCTATGAAAGAAAAATTGAAAGTATTTGAAGAATTTTATAAAGAACTATATCAAACCAAAGCAAGCCCCATAGAGGCAATTAGGAAATATGTGGAGGAAAATTGGGAGAGTAAGCTGGAGGAGAAAGATAAAGAGTTACTGGAACAACCTATTAAGAAAAAAGAAATAGAGGAAGTCATTAATAAATTAAAAGTAGGAAAAGCTCCAGGCTTGGATGGTCTAGGGACAGAATATTATAAAAGCTTTAGAGAAGTTTTAACCCCAAAATTATTGGAATTGTATAATGGAATAATGAAGGGAGATAAAATACCCGAATCATGGAGGAGATCATTAATAATATTAATACCTAAACCTGATAAAGACTTAACAGACCCAGGGTCATATAGGCCCATATCATTAATTAATCAGGATGCAAAGATATTGTCCGCGATAATAGCCAATAGAATGAATAAATGTATGTATAAGTACATAAAAGAAGATCAGTGTGGGTTTATAAAAGGAAGACAAATGTCAAATTTGATAGGGAGAGTATTGTTGTGTTGTTGTTGTTCATTCGTTCAGTCGTCTCCGACTCTTCGTGACCTCATGGACCAGCCCACGCCAGAGCTCCCTGTCGGCCGTTACCACCCCCAGCTCCCTCAAGGTCAGTCCAGTCACTTCAAGGATGCCATCCATCCATCTTGCCCTTGGTCGGCCCCTCTTTCTTTTTCCTTCCATTTTCCCCAGCATAATTGTCTTCTCTAGGCTTTTCTGTCTCCTCATGATGTGGCCAAAGTACTTCAACTTTGTCTCTAGTATCTTTCCCTCCAGTGAGCAGTCGGGCTTTATTTCCTGGAGGATGGACTGGTTGGATCTTCTCGCAGTCCAAGGCACTCTCAGAACTTTCCTCCAACACCACAGCTCAAAAGCATCTATCTTCCTTCGCTCAGCCTTCCCTAAGGTCCAGCTCTCACATCCATAGGTTACTACAGGGAATACCATGGCTTTGACTAGGCGGATCTTTGTTGCCAGTCTGATGTCTCTACTCTTTACTATTTTATCGAGACTGGACATTGCTCTCCTCCCAAGAAGTAAGCGTCTCCTGATTTCCTGGCTACAGTCTGCATCTGCAGTAATCTTTGCACCTAGAAATACAAAGTCTGTCACGGCCTCCACGTTTTCTCCCTCTATTTTCCAGTTGTCAATCATTCTTGTTGCCATAATCTTGTTTTTTTATGTTTAGCTGCAACCCAGCTTTTGCGCTTTCTTCTTTCACCTTGATTAGAAGGCTCCTCAGCTCCTCCTCGCTTTCGGCCATCAGAGTGGTGTCATCTGCATATCTGAGGTTGTTAATGTTTCGTCCAGCAATTTTCACCCCAGCTTTGCATTCATCAAGCCCCGCACATCGCATGATGTGTTCTGCATACAAGTTAAAAAGGTTGGGTGAGAGTATGCAGCCTTGCCGTACGCCTTTCCCAATCTTGAACCAGTCTGTTGTTCCATGGTCAGTTCTGACTGTTGCTACTTGGTCCTTGTACAGATTCCTCAGGAGAGAGACAAGGTGGCTTGGGATGCCCATCCCACTAAGAACTTGCCACAATTTATTATGATCCACACAGTCAAAGGCTTTGGAATAGTCAATGAAGCAGAAGTAGATGTTTTTCTGAAACTCCCTGCCTTTCTCCATTATCCAGCGGATATTGGCAATTTGGTCTCTCGTTCCTCTACCTTTTCTAAACCCAGCTTGAACATCTGGCAACTCTCGCTCCATGTATTGCTGGAGTCTTCCTTGCAGGATCTTGAGCATTACCTTACTGGCATGAGAAATAAGGGCCACTGTACGGAAGTTTGAGCAGTCTTATTTCTATATATCTCCTATATTCATTGGGGATATAAGTTGATTTTTTCAAGTCTGATGGCCATTCTTGTGTTTTCCATATTTGCTGGCAAATGGCATGCATCACCTTGACAGCATCATCTTTTAAGATTTTAAACAGTTCAACTGGGATCCCGTCATCTCCTGCTGCCTTGTTGTTAGCGATGCTTCTTAAGGCCCATTCAACCTCACTCCTCAGGATGTCTGGTTCTAATTCATTCACCACACCGTCAAAACTATCCTCAATATTATTATCCTTCCTATACAGATCTTCTGTATAGTCTCGCCACCTTCTCTTGATCTCTTCAGCTTCTGTTAGGTCCCTGCCATCTTTGTTTCTTATCATACCAATTTTTGCCTGAAATTTACCTCCAATGTTTCTAATTTTCTGGAAGAGGTCTCTTGTCCTTCCTATTCTGTTGTCTTCTTCCACTTCCATGCATTGCTTATTTAAAAATAGTTCCTTCTCTCTTCTGGCTAACCTCTGGAATTGCGCATTTAACTGGGCATATCTCCCCTTATCCCTGTTTCCTTTTGCTTTCCTCCTTTCTTGGGCTACTTCCAGTGTCTCAGCAGACAACCATTTTGCCTTCTTGGTTTTCTTTTTCTTTGGGACATACTTTGTTGCCGCCTCCTGAACAATGTCTCGGACTTCTGTCCATAGTTCTTCTGGGACTCTGTTTACTAAATCTAGTCCTTCAAATCTGTTCTTCACTTCCACTGTATATTCGCTAGGAATGTTAGTGAGATCATATCTAACTGGTCTGTGTATTTTCCCTGATCTCTTTAGTTTTATTCTAAATTGGTCAATAAGAAGTTCGTGATCTGAGCTACAGTCAGCCCCAGGTCTTGTTTTCACCGACTGGATGGATGTCCGCCACCGTTGGCTGCAAAGGATGTAGTCAATCTGATTTCGGTGTTGACCGTCTGGTGAGGTCCATGTGTAAAGCCGTCTTTTAGGTTGTTGGAAGAGAGTATTCGTTATACACAGCGAGTTTTCCTGGCAAAATTCTATCAGCCTGCGTCCCGCTTCATTTTGTTCTCCCAGACCATGCTTGCCTGTGATCCCTGTTGTCATTTGACTTCCCACCTTGGCATTCCAGTCTCCTGTAATGAAAATAATGTCTCTTTTTGGTGTATTATCCAGTAGGTCCTGCAGATCCTCATAGAACTGATCTACTTCTGCTTCTTCAGCAGCTGTGGTTGGGGCGTATATTTGAATCACTGTAATGTTGAAAGGCTTTCCTTGCACTCGAATTGAGATCATTCTGTCATTTTTTGGGTTGTATCCAAGCACCGCTTTAGCGAATTTCTTATTAATTATGAAGGCTCCTCCATTTCTTCGATGTTCCTCTTGTCCGCAGTAGTAGATCTGGTGGTCATCTGATGTGAAGTGGCCCATTCCAGTCCATTTCAGTTCGCTGACCCCCAGAATGTCTATCTTTAGTCTTGACATCTCACCAATAACAACATCCAATTTGCCCTGGCTCATAGATCTTACATTCCAGGTTCCTATGGTGTGTTGATCTTTAGAGCATCGGATTCGTCTTTCACCTCCAGTACCGTCGGCCGCTAGCCTTCCTTTCGGCTTTGAGCTAGCTGCGTCATCACATCTGGTGCTAGTTGAATCTATCCTCTGCTCCTCCCCAGTAGCATTTAGACCATCTTCCGACCTGGGAGTCCCATCTTCCAATGGCATACCGACATATATCTGGTTGTACTGGTCCATTTAGTTTTCTTGGCAAGGATACTGGAGTGGTTTGCCATTGCCTTCCCCAGGGATCACGCTTGGTCTGACCTCTCTGCCACAACCGTCCCGTCTTGGTGTCCCTTCACGGTTTCGCTCATGACATCATTGAGGTGCTCAAGCTCCAGCGCCCCGACAAGGCGGTGAGTTAGGGAGAGTACTAAATAAAATTCATTGGGCTAAAGAGGGGAAGGGAAAAGCAGGGATATTATCATTAGATATTTTTAAAGCGTTCGATTGTGTGGAATGGGAGACATTAAGGGAAATATTGAATAAATTTGGAATGGGAAATAGAATAAAAGGAGTACTAAAACAATTTTACTCAAGGAACTCAGCAGTGGTAACTATAAATGATGGAGTGACAAACGAAATAAAAGTGACTAGAGGAACCAGACAAGGGTGCCCTTTGTCTCCAATACTATTTGCTATGGTGATAGAACTGTTTGCTAATAACATAAGGAATGATAAAAATTTAGAAGGGTTAGGAAAAAAGGAGAAACAGAAGGTGAGCTTATTCGCTGACGATACATTGTTATTTATAGAAAATATAGTGGAGAAAATGGATAGAATAAAAGAACATTTGGAGATATTTGGGAAAGCAACGGGTTTACAAGTTAATTGGAACAAGTCAGAAATGATGCTACTTAATTATACAAGAGAAGAAGAAAAAGATTTTATAGAACAGAGAAAAATGGGAATAAGAATTAAGAATAAATTAAAATACTTGGGAGTAATAATAACTAAGGATTTAAAAGAGATAGAGGAAGTAAATGTAGTAACTTTAAGAAAAGAAGTTCAGAAAAAGTTAATAGAGTACGAAGGTATACACTTATCCTGGTTTGGAAGAATAGCATTAGTAAAAATGAAAATACTTCCAAAAATAAATTTTATATTTAGGATGCTACCACTTCAAATCACAGAAGAAGAACTAACTAGATGGCAACAAATGATTAATAAGTACTGTAATGGAAGTAAAAGAAACAGACTAAATAAACAGTTATGGTATAGATCGCAAAAGGAGGGTGGACTAGCACTACCTAATATAAAAAAATATTATGAAGCAAGTAGATTAAGTTTGGTTATAGAAGGAATGGTTAAAAAAGAGGGAATAGATTGGCTTAGTAATGATTCAGGAAAAGTGGAAGATGAAATTTGGAATATATTTTTTAAACAGTTTACTAGAAAAGAAATGAGGGAAATTAGAAACCCAATGCTGAGTAACATACTGAAAGTATGGAATAAATATAAGGGGAGGTTAATAAAGGAGGGATCAATTATAACCCCAATAGTGATGGAAAAGAAGTTCCCAAAAAATTTAAAAAAGTAATGGATAAAAAGGTAAGGGAAATAAATTTAGATAGGATAGGGGATTGGATGAAGGTGGAAATGAAGAGGGAAAGTGATGTTGGAAGAGTTTAAAGAAATAAAATTGTCATGGTTTCATTGTATACAATTAGAACAATGGTTAATAAACTGGAAAAAAATAATAGAAATGGAAACCAACTCAATCAATTCAAACAAATAATACAGAAGGGAAGGGCTGTAGAAGAACATGAAAACTTGAGAGGTATAATTAGCAAAATCTATAAGATACTAATTGAAATGAAGGATGAAAAAATAAAAAAGTGTACCCTTAAGGAGATTTGGGAAGAGGATTTAGGGATAAAAATAAGTGAAATAGAGTGGCGACAACTATGGGGACAAAGACATTTAAAAAATTTATCGATACGAGTTAAAGAAAATTATTATAAGTTAATATGGAAGTGGTACTTAACACCGGTAAGAATAGCATATATGAATAAAAATAACTCAATAAATTGTTGGAGAGGGTGTCAAGAACCAGGAACATATATACACATGTGGTGGCAATGTAAATATGTAAATAATTTTTGGGAGAAAGTATTTAGAGAAATAGAAATTATAATGAATATGAAAATAGATAAAAGTCCTAGTATAGCCTTACTATCATTATATAACAATAAGCAATTGAAAAAGGAGGATAAAGAAGCGATAACAAATTTATTAACCATAGCAAGATTGCTCATAGCAAGGAATTGGAAAAAAGAAATGAATATACAAATAGAGGAGTGGTATAAGGAAGCATGGAAAATAGCAATAAATGATAAATTGACATGTATATTAAAGGTTAAAAAAGGTATATGGAAACAAAGCGATTTTGATGCTGTATGGGGAAGATTTGTGGTAAATGGATTAAAAAACAAGGAAGGAAAATTACCGTCACAAGAAGAAATGAAATTTTGGACAGATGAAATGTAAGAATGGTGGCTTGAGACGGGTGGAGGGGAGCACTGTGGTGAAAAAAAAAAAGGAAAAAAGAGGGGGAATTGTCAAAGCAAAACAATAAAACAACATGTTAAAGAGGTTGATGTACAAAATGCAATAGTATGTAATAAATGTGATAAATCAATAAAAATTATTAATGGATATAATTCTGTCCATGGGTGGCTTGAATCTAAAGCCTCTCCAAGACATGTTTGGGGCAGGCAAGGGAGGTAATTGGGATCATTGACAGTGGTCACATTGGCCAGATATCTGAGATGTTGGCCATGGATGGATTTGTTTTTGAGATCTTTATATTGCCCCTTTGAGTCTTAACTGCATTGATGATCCTCTGAGAGTTGTGAGTTGGGACAGGATAGAAGAAATCAAAGGATCTTTTTTTTTCACCAAGCTTCCTGGATGCCATCATGTTCGCTAAAAAGGAAGAGTTTGACTCCTATGTTGCTGTTGGTGGAGGTTCGGTCATAGATACTTGTAAAACTGCCAATCTGTATGCATCCAGCCCAGAATCAGAATTTTTGGATTATGTTAATGCTCCCATTGGAAAAGGCAAGCCTGTGAACGTCGCTCTCAAACCATTGATTGCAGGTAAAAAAGCAAGTGTGTGGGTGAACTTTGGTGTACATTTGTGTGTGTTGTAAAATATATGTGTGTGTGTGTATAATATATCTAATGGTCTCAGGTCAGATATCATAAGTGAGCCTGCACTGTAAATTGCTTGTTTAGAAGGCTGCCTGGGAATATTTTGAACTATTTGGGGAACAATGGGAGTAACATTCACTCACATTCTCCTCAAGGCTGGAGGACCTTGCTATGTCATAATGTACAGGTATCTCTTGTTTATTGTGGTTAGGAGATAAGGACCCCTGTGTAAATAGAAAAAAACTGTGAATAAAAAGTACTAATTTTTATTTAGAGAGAACCTCTTTTTAGAAATCTAATTCCTCAAGTGCAATTCTATGATCAATTTTTGGCAGTTGATCATTGAGTTGTGCTGGAGAATCTAGAAAATCCATATTAATGAAATCTATGGATAGTGCTATCTGCCAAAGTTAAGTCTGCAAATGAGGAGAGTGAATGTATGAGCTTCATTTCTAGTGGTCCTTGATAAAGAGCAGTGGTTCCCAACCTTTTTTTTTTTTACTAGGGCCCACTTTGACTAGGGACCACTTGAACAGGGACAACTCTCCAGCATTAGTATCAAAAGGGGCAGGGCTGCTCAGCTCTGTGGAAAGGAGCGGAAATAAGTAAAATAAATAAAGAGGAAGGAGATTCACAGACCAGATTTTCGTTTTTGCAGCCCACAGGTTGAGAACCATTGATATAGAGTCAGCCCTAGAAACAGATACAATAAAAAGGAAGATGATGTTGGGGGCATGGAACTGGGGTGCAATATTGGAGGTTGCATAGCAGCAGCTGGTGGTTTTCATGTCAAGGAAATAAAGAATCCCTTCTGGGCTTTCACCTTTATTTTAAAAGTGCCATCTGAGATGCTAACCCCTATCTCAAAAACAGGTTCAGCCCTTTATAGAGTTCCTTTTCAGAACAGACTGAAATTGCCTATAGTGAATTCACCACTCCATTGACATGGAGCATCAGTTAAGTAGATTTGTTTGTACAGAGCTGACTTTTGCATTTATGAAAATGCTGTGGGAGCCATCCTGTACTCTGCCAAAAGCAGCAAAACATTATCAAGCCTCTTATTTGCCATTTTGTGGTGAAGAGTTAAAGAGAAGAGCTAAACTATCCCACAGGTTCTCCCGTATTTGCTGCCAGTTGTGTTGTAGTGCTCTCCAACCTGCCACTAATCCCCCCCCCCCCACAAATAATCTCTTCAAGGAGAAGCTAAATGATAATGTAGTGTTGTCCAAGGGGATTTGTGCAGGAAAATGGCAACTGGCAACCAAAAGCACTACCACCCAATTCCCCCCTTTTCTAAAAATGGGCCTAAATCCAGTTGCTAGTTACAACTAGAATAGATCCACTGAATCAGTAGAGCTTACACAGGTGTGGTTTTCTCATGTAGCTGTTGCTTCCCTTCCCTCTCCGTTCGGGGTTATTGCATCAAGCCATTGCTCTCCACATCCTAGATTTTGCAACTGCAAATTTAATTTTTCATTGGTTGGCAATAGAACCAGTATTTGTATACTAACAAAATTAATTTGTTTTGGTTTTGGTTTTTTCCCCAAAGTTCCTACAACTGCTGGAACTGGGAGTGAAACCACTGGAGTGGCTATTTTTGATTATAAAGAACTAAAAGTAAAAACTGGTAAGGATTTTATCAACAGATCTATTTTGTCAATTGTATTATTACTGCTTCTCCCAACCCCACCCCTCCAAAGTTTCTTTGACCTCCATTGTATAGAAAAACCATTAAGAAATATTCACAAAAGCATGATAAGAATGGCATGGTGCAGAAAACTATCAAAGAAAAGGGAAACACCAGTTGTGTGCACACCATGTACCAAAGTCCTAGGTGATGGGCATTAAAACAGCAATTGCACCAACATAGCAATGGATCTCCAAAGGAATACAAAATCAGCTGGACTTTTGGGCAGGTATGTGCCCATTCCAGAACTGGGAGGGTGCTTCCCTGCAGGGCCAAAATACCATATTTACTTGAGTTTAATACACGATTGAGAGCCCCCGGTGGCGCAGTGGGTTAAAGCGCTGAGCTACTGAGCTTGTTGACTGAAAGGTCGCAGGTTCAATTCCTGGGAGCTGCGTGAGCTTCCACTGTCAGCCCTAGCTTCTTTCAACCTAGCAGTTCAAAAACATGCAAATGTGAGTAGATCAATAGGTACCACTCCGGTGGGAAGGTAACGGCGCTCCATGCAGTCATGCCAGCTACATGACCTTGGAGGTGTCTATAGACAACGTCGGCTCTTTGGCTTAGAAATGGAGATGAGCACCACACCCCAGAGTGAGACATGACTGGACTTAATGACAGGGACACCCTTTACCTTACCTAATACACCATTGAATCTCATGCACATCTCAATTTTCAAAACTCTGAAACCAAAAAAAAGTATTTGCCACTGAATGTGATACACAGCAGCAAAAAGTGCCCTCTTTGTAATTTTAAGCCATTACAGTTACTTATAATTCCTTATTTGAAACACAAAAGTGTTAGAGTACCAAAGGTTCCAGCAATGGAAAAGAAAATCCTGGGTGCATCAGTGCTGTAGAATGAATCCACTTTAATTGCCTCAGTTCAGTGCTGTGAAGCCATACTGTGGAGCCAAGAGAGCTGTAGTTTGACAAGGTCTTGAGCCTTTTCTGCCAAAGAATGCTGGTGCCTCACCAAACTACAAATCCCAGGATCCCATAGTATTGATCTGTGGCCCTTAAATTAGAGGTGACATCCCTCAAAGAGGATCTCCTGAAGCAGATTCCCCTTTTGCTTTGACTCGGAACTAAGATTATGCTATTACGCAAATCTAATGTGCACCCTAATTTTGGCAAGATAATTTGGCCAAAAAAAGGTGAGCATTAAATCCGAGTAAATAAGGGTATATGTTACATTAAACCCTTAAACACAGCATGCAATTAGAAGATAACTTTTGTTTACTCTGAAAAAGTTTGCATGGCCTTGAGTTTTAACCTTTCTATCATCTGGCTTTTATTTAAAAATATGGACAACATTGTGCTGAAGGCATGAAAAAGGGGACAAATGCTCCATTGATACCATTTCCTTCTGGCAAGGAAACTAGTCCAATGTGGGCTAGGCAAAACTACGGTGAGGTGGATCTGTAATTGGTTAAGTGGACGAACACAGAGAGTGCTCACTAATGCTTCCTCTTCATCTTGGAAAGAAGTGACAAGTGGAATGCCGCAGGGTTCCGTCCTGGGCCCGGTCCTGTTCAACATCTTTATTAATGACTTAGATGAAGGGCTAGAAGGCATGATCATCAAGTTTGCAGACGACACCAAATTGGGAGGGATAGCCAATAGTCCAGAGGACAGGAGCAGGATTCAAAACGATCTTGACAGATTAGAGAGATGGGCCAAAACTAACAAAATGAATTTCAACAGTGACAAATGCAAGATACTCCACTTTGGCAGAAAAAATGCAAAGATACAGAATGGGGGACGCCTGGCTCGAGAGCAGTACGTGTGAAAAAGATCTTGGAGTCCTCGTGGACAACAAGTTAAACATGAGCCAACAATGTGATGGGGCGGCAAAAAAAGCCAATGGGATTTTGGCCTGCATCAATAGGAGCATAGTGTCTAGATCTAAGGAAGTAATGCTACCCCTCTATTCTGCTTGGTTAGACCACATCTGGAATATTGTGTCCAATTCTGGGCACCACAATTCAAGAGAGATATTGACAAGCTGGAATGTGTCCAGAGGAGGGCGACTAAAATGATCAAGGGTCTGGAGAACAAGCCCTATGAGGAGCAGCTTAAGGAGCTGGCCATGTTTAGCCTGAAGAAGAGAAGGCTGAGGGGAGATATGATAGCCATGTATAAATATGTGAGAGGAAGCCACAGGGAGGAGGGAGCAAGCTTGTTTTCTGCTTCCTTGGAGACTAGGACGCGGAACAATGGCTTCAAACTACAAGAGAGGAGATTCCATCTGAACATTAGGAAGAACTTCCTGACTGTGAGCCGTTCAGCAGTGGAACTCTCTGCCCCGGAGTGTGGTGGAGGCTCCTTCTTTGGAAGCTTTTAAGCAGAGGCTGGATGGCCATTTGTCAGGGGTGATTTGAATGCAATATTCCTGCTTCTTGGCAGGGGGTTGGACTGGATGGCCCATGAGGTCTCTTCCAACTCTTTGATTCTATGATTCTATGATACCTTGTTAACTCATGTTCAGAGGGATATTTTCAATAGAAAATCAAATTGTATAAAAAGTTGAAATCTTCACCACATATGCATGCTGGTCCTCATCTAAATTAGAGCCTGACACATAGTAGATTTATAAAAAATTGTATCAAAGGCTGCATGTTTAACATAGTATGGAGTTGGGCTCAAGAGAATCCCAGAACAAACATTCTTGTTTTCTGCTTAATACCACTGACATTCATTTAACAGGGGATTTGTCTTATTAGAAGACTAAGATGTTTATAACTTGCCCTTCTTTCCACGGGAATCCCTTAAATCCCTACTAGTGTGTGTGATTAGTGTTTTTATATTACTGCAAAATGCTTTTAGAAGAGTTATTTATTGTAGATTGACAGGTATATAATTTCCATGTTTAGGCATTGCTTCTAGAGCTATTAAGCCCTTATTGGGGGTAATTGACCCCCTACATACTCTTTCTATGCCTGAGCGTGTGACAGCTAATACTGGCTTTGATGTGCTTTGGTAAGTATTTTAAAGGCACTCTGATATTTCTTGAATGTGTGCATGTTGGTTATTTTTAATTAAATATTTTAGAATGTGACATAACATTTCAGTTTTTGGGTTATCTACTTGTTTGCTTTTCTTTTCTCTTCTCTTTTGTCTGCCCTCTCTGCCCTCCTTTCCTTATCCCATTTTTCCTCTGGATATATTCCTGCTACAAAACTAAATTGGACTGATTATCATTTCCAATTCCCATAGAACACTGAATCCTAACAGATTATTTTTACACTGTATTTTTAAATAATATAGATTATTTTCTAAACATAATCCTCTCATAGATGAGGGAGAAAAACAAAGCTGGGAAATTTCATTGACACCAATGGAAGTTTTAAAAAATTATTCCTGTGTAGCGGGTGAATGTATTTCTTACTGCACCTAAATGCGAAAGAGAGCATTGTGGAGAATATATTGCCAAAGGCTTTCATGGCCAGAATCATTGGGTGGTTGTAGATTTTTCGGGCTACATCTGGACCAAATTTGGCATGAATACAAATCTCACAATCTCTGAGGATGCCTGCCATAGATGCAGGTGAAATGTCAGGAGAAAATGCTTCTAGAACATGGCCCGAAAAACCTACAACAACCCAGCAATGTGGAGAGAGAAGAATTAGATAAAATGAGCCAAAGCCGTATAAGTTTTATCAGGAAACAGCAGCAAAATGGCAGTTATATAAATTGTTTCCCCTTTGTAATGACTATAGCGGTGGTCAATGTGGTTTCAGATTTGAGGATTTGTGTCTCTGTCAATGCAATGTAGCATGGTTATAGCCATCCCTACTTCTCCAAAGATGCAGAAGCACACTGCTTCACCCAGGTGTAGTTTTCCTGGAAAGGAGATCACCAAGTAGGCTTGATAGTTGTAATTGGTTTACAAATTTCAGATGCTGGCAAAACCCTTTTTGGACTACAACTCCCAGAATTCCCCAGTTGATGAAGGGATTCCAGGAGTTGTAGTCCAGAACAGGAAAAAAATCAAGCTCTAGGTTCAATGTGGGGAAAGACACAGATTTTCTGTACCACATCAGCCTCTCAGGGAGACAGCAAGTCGCACACACCAAACCAGGCATCCTCAAACTGCGACCCTCCAGCTGTTTTGGCCTCCAACTCCCAGAATTCCTGACCATGGAACAAGCTGGCTAGGGCTCCTGGGAGTCCTAAATCTTACAGTATCTTGTTGTCACACAGCTTGGAAAAATTTGCTAAACATTAATTATCTGGGAGCTGGACAGAATTTTGCAGTATTACTTTTTTGAAATACAGAATTTCCATCTAGCATAAGGAACTCCACAAAAAGTAACTATGTTGCATAGTGATGCTGTGATAATCACCCCAGAAAAATTGGGAACCTTCTTGTTTTTCAGTAGTATTGATTTGCAAATTCTTACAAAGAAATTCTTAAGCATTTTCCTTCATTCCTTCCCCATCTACCTGCCAGCCATGCCCTCGAATCCTATACTGCCCTTCCCTACCATCAGCGTGGTCCCTGTCCTTCCAATCCAATGAACCGACCAGCTTATCAAGGAAGTAATCCTATCAGTGATGTCTGGGCCATCCAAGCATTACGGATCGTTGCTAAATATTTCAAGAGGTAATGTTTTTCTAAGGACCTTCATTTATTTCATTAACAATAGAAATACTCCCTCATGCTATGCAGATGAACATCTAACTTTGAATAAATGAGTGTTCTCATAATGTGGCTCAACTTGGAGGCCTTCAGATGTATTGGTCATGATTGCATTAGTCATGCAAGTTTAAATTTATGGGAGTTGTAGTAAAAACCATCTGGAGGCACTAAAGAGTGTATTAAGGCTTGTTAATGTCTCTGAAAGCTGGAAAGCATGACATAAATAAAAGTTTGGTTTCCTTAACCAAATTTTAGGAACAGCATACAAATATTAGCTAAGCAATTCTGAGATTTGTGATGGAAGGGTGCTTAACTGACGTCACAGTCATAAAAATAAAAGACACAAACCTTTTATTATACTAGGCCACTGATGCAGTGGAAACCATGTGCCAGAAATCACACACCATGACCTGTCCACCTGGTGTGACAGTACTGTCACAGATATACAATCAGTTCAGGGATCTCCACAGAACTATGTTCTCCAGCAAGAACTGAGTTTGGATACTGACATCAATAGGTTCATGTCCTTCATTATGTCAAATCAACTGGAGATGCAAATAATCTTTGCTAAATGGCTACTGATATGTATTCTCTTATGAGTTCTAGAAAATGTCTGGAAATATAAACACCTGAGGAAAGATTATAAGACCACTGTCCATAACTCATGAATTCCAGAAGTTGTGACTTTCTTTCCTTTATATATAAAAACAAAATAGGAGTATGCAAGCTCATTTATGTGAATCAGAATGTATCAACAACATGTGTAACAATGTTGCCTACTTTGCACTAGCTCTCGGGAATCTCAGACAAAGATCCCCTAATTGTTTGCCCAGAGATGCTGGGGACTTAACCGGAGCTACAGCAGGTAAAACAAACATTCGATTAATCTGGTGCAATGAAACTGATGAACAAGGATTGGTTAATCACAGACGACGAAATTGGATTGCGACTACAATTAAGAGATGCATTGGATTATTATTGGTGGCCCAATAATATTGTGTATCGTGTATGTGTTTTTATGCTTTTTAATGGAATATTGCTGCTTGTCGTTGTGTTGTAAACCGCGTTGAGTCGCCGATTTAGGCTGAGAAACGGCGGTATATAAGCACAGTAATAAATAAATAAATAAATAAAACAGAGTGCCTTCACCATGTAATTTTCTGGTGCCACAACAGATCTCTAACACTCCATGGTATAGTTTGCCTTTTTCATGTTCACACATTTTTTATTTGATTAAATTGTTGGCATTTCTGGATAGAGCCATCAGGAACCCTGAAGATGAAGAAGCAAGGGCTAGCATGCATCTAGCAAGTGCTTTTGCTGGCATTGGCTTTGGAAATGCTGGCGTGCATCTGTGGTAAGTTGAGCATTTTATGACATGAAAATTATCCAAAATGAATTGCAGCTATTCTGCTAACCACTACCATCCACCTGGACATCAGATCAAATAGGAATCAGAAGTGGTATTGTCACGTCCATTGCACCAACAACAAATCAGTGTGTTTCATAAAGATCCTTGTAGGCAAAAATGCTCTCATTCCATAGTTGCTTGCTTCCTGATTTAGAAGACGAACTTCAGTAAGTAGAAACAGGATAAATCCTTACTATCAGATTTTTTTCTGCTTTTGTTACTGTCAACATGCAGAACTAAACCTTTGGGTGCATGGAAACTCTGGATCAGGGGCCACAAGTTTTATTTTTGTTTCGTTTGTATTATTGTTAAGCTCTTACATCTACCTGCCTCAACACAGATCAATTAGGCTAAATAGGAAAATCTGTGAGGGTTTTCCTAATTGTTTGAGGATTGCCTTATTCCCTTCCATTTTAATACTATTTTTTTCCTTCTAGTCATGGCATGTCTTATCCTATTTCCGGTTTGGTGAAGAATTATAAAGCAAAGGATTATCGTGTGGAGCATTCTTTAGTGGTAACAACTCAGTGTGACTCTTAAATAATTTGTCTGTAGTTACGTAAAAAATGCTACAGTTGTTTCTGGATTCCTTCTTGAAGTACCAGTTGTCAGATTCATGTGAGATATGCTTTGCTTTCTTCCAGCCTCATGGTCTTTCCGTTGTCCTCACGTCCCCAGCCGTGTTTACTTTCACAGCACCAATGTGTCCTGAGCGTCATTTGGAAGCTGCTCAAATACTGGGTATGGTTCTCTTGATAAAACTGAAGCATTAAGTGAAATGCTTGCTTGACCAAGATGCATTTGGCTCTTGCAGATTCTGTATACACAGAACATAATAATGCATTTTAAACCAACATTTGTTTTGTTTGGAGACTTCTCAAAGTGGCATAATGAAGCTTGGTATGTTTTTGAAAACTTGTTCCATTTCCCTCCATGTGTGGCGTTTTTCCTCAATTGGCTAGGCACCAACTGTTCCTAATTTTGTAGTAGAAGCTGAAAAAATGTGAGACCAAAGAGAATCCCTCAGTCCCTGAGTGGAGAATGCTATTTGCTCTAGGACTCAGCGTGTCAGCAAAAATTATTTTATTTTCATAACCTAGTTACTTACTGAGATAAAGCAACAAAGTGGGGGGGGGGAGCGTGCTGGGTTGTCAAGTTAAATATGGAACCAGGTTCTCTTACCTTAAATATTTTACATATTATGGAAACAAAGGCATGGGGCAGAGTTCAGCCAGGTGGAACTGTGTCGCATCTCCAGCCCACCTTTTAGCTGCTGTATTCCGTTACCAACACAACCATTTTCTGGCTAGTAGAAATACTGATGGAAAAATTAAATGTGTGCATCCAGCTGTAGGAATATCGCTGGGCACGTTTGTTCCACTGCTCTTATTGTCCAATAAGCTAATAAATTGCTTTGTTGCAACGGGACTGCACCACCTAGGGTGGGTAGGAGGAGTAAAGGAGGAGACATTGTTTACTTCCACCCAGTGGAACTTTAAACTTTCTTTTCCAGAATCTGTAAACTATTAAAGGTACAAGAAGTCCTGTCTCAATTTCTCTCTCTCTCTCTCTCTCTCTCTGTGTGTGTGTGTGTGTGTGTGTGAGAGAGAGAGAGAGTGAGTGAGAGAGAGAGAGATGCCTATAGATTCAGACTTTCAGACTTACTATATTGCTCATAAACATTAGCCCGATCAGTTTCAATACACAACTATAGTAGTGTGATTCCACTTTAATAACCATAGCTGCATCCTCTGATTTATAGTTTGCTGGACTGGAGCCCTCTGGCTAAAAAAGTACTAGTATTCTCTAGGATGGAACCATGACAATTAAAGTGGAATCATAGTGCTATAACTGTGTGGTACGAAAGGGAGCATAGTGTTCTGTTGAAATGGCCTTTCACTGTCCTGTGTTCTCATGTTCTCTAGGGGCTATGTGTACATGAAAAGGAGGGGGACACAGTTCCAAATTTGGTTTTCATTTACACTTGTCTTTCTACAGACAAACCAGCCCAAATTGGACATGTAAAAGGCCATGTTATGGAAAAGCAGACTCCTCTTCTGCCTTGTGCAGCTCGCTTTGACAGCTTTACACCATGATTACCCCATGTTTTGGGTCAGGAGAAGCTATCCTAAGTGCTACTTAACAAAATCATGACAGTGTATCTTATGCATCTCTTATGGTCCATCCTACTGATTTCTCCATCACCCTCACGTGCCACCATATTAATAGTCATTTGGCTAGCAAAAGCATAAATGTCAGAAAAATTCTGTTTTATGATAGTTGCTTTCTGAGTTAGTTTTAATTGTGTTTCTAAACTATAACTGAAAAAATGTTATCTATTGATGTGACCTTCAGAGGAATGGTTTCTGTGTGCATCTACTGATGCAAGTTTTGCTTATTTGTGCATTTCAAATAGTTTGGGCAGTGGATACAATAAATAAGAGAAAATTTATTCTTTTTTTACTTGCTCTCATTTTAGGAGCTAACATCAGCAGTTCCAAAGTCAAAGATGCTGGGCTTATTTTGGCAGACACCCTCCGGGAATTCTTGTTTGACTTGAATGTTGATGATGGCCTGTCTGCTCTTGGTTATTCTACAGCTGATATCCCTGCCTTAGTTAAAGGCACATTGCCCCAGGTAGGACAAACAGCAGTGGTTATTTCCCTTAAAATAAACATTTCCTTCCATTTTTCCCTTTTTTGTCTTTGTTCATATTTCGGTAGGAAACAATCATGAATGAGGGCTTTGTCACACTACAGTATTCTAGAGTTCTCTCCTTATTTTGATTGTACTTTCCTCTACTTTCTCTGCTTCTCTTTGATGGCATTATTTGCTCAGCGGTGATATCACAATGGACATGAGGCCACAGATGAGTCATCTTTCCGCTGTTGGTTGATTGTTTCTAATATCACAGAATATGGCTGTGTTTGAGGTACTAGTTAGAGAAATACAATAATTGGAGAATGTAGACGTCTGAACTGAGAGGCCTAGAAGCATCTCAGGTAAAACAAAGACCCTTTATCTGTCATAATATCAATCTACCATGAAGAATATGCGCAGTTCAGCTGAATGGAGTTTTCTGCCACTTACACAAAAAGAATGAAACTAATAGATAGAGATGGCTAGTCCAAACTAGAGTAGATGCATTCAATGCATTGTTGAATGGTAAGTCAGCATATATGTAAACCCCATCAATTCAATATGTCTATTGAACTCAACCCAACACCAACACCTCCCAGTGGTGCAATGGTTAAACACTTGGCCTGGCAGGACTGCTGACTGATTTGAATCTGGGGAGTGGGGTGAGCTCCCATCTGTCACTCCAGCTTTCCATGCGGGGACATGAGAGAAGCCTCCCACAGGATGGTAAAGCATCCGGGTGTCCCCTGGGCAATGTCCTTGCAGACAGCCAATTCTCTCACACCAGAAGCAACTTGCAGTTTCTCAAGTCACTCCTTACACGAAAAAGAAAAATCTGTCTACTATAAGTGGTAGCAGCAAAATAATTCACTCTGATATATTTATTAAGAGCATTATAGCAAGAAAGCAAATGTTTATGAATCTGACTAGGAAAAAAAAATATTAATACTATTTAGGTCAGCCCTCCAGACATAGCTTTAAGATATGAAATTGCATTCTTTCATGTTGGGCCCTTTTGACTATACTACATGTAGAAATGAAAATAATATTGAAAAATATTTTTAAAATAATGGAATCAGCCATCTTTCCACATTAGTAAGTTTCACTTTTTGTGGAATTAATTACCCATTGATATGTTTTTTTTAGGAATCTGTCAGATAAGAACCATGTATAAATATGTGAGAGGAAGTCACAGGGAAGAGGGAGCAGGTTTGTTTTCTGCTGCCCTGGAAATTAGGAACCAGAACAATGGCTTCAAGCTACAGGAAAGGAGATTCCACCTGAACATTAGAAAGAACTTCCTAACCGTGAGAGCTGTTGAGACGTGGAACTCTGCCCTTGAGTGTGGTGGAAGCTCCTCCTTTGGAGGCTTTTAAACAGAGGCTGAATGGCCATCTGTCGGGGGTGCTTTCAATGCGATTTTACTGCTCCTTGGCAGGGGGTTGGACTGGATGGCCCAAGTGGTCTCTTCCAACTCTGATTCTAAGTCCTGAATTGCTAATAGACGTTGAAGTCTTTGTTTTTTGAAGTCTTTTCTCACAGTAGGAAGAACATGGCTGAAATTACTTAAGGATGTCCATGCACATTTTAGATAGCTCCATCAACAGCAAACATCAGGAAAAGATCCTACTTGGACAAAGTATTTGAGAGCAAAGGTAGAAAAAGTAATATCTCTGTGTCTGCCAATTAAGCAAAGAAAGGCTTACTTAAAGAGGCATGCATAAGATTGCAGTCTTGGCACTGTAAAAATGTATTGTACTGCACAGAAACCAAATTGATTTCAGTAGGATTGCTTTATAAGGCAGCTGTTCTTTTGGTTCTATTAAGCATGCATTTGTAACCTGGTATTTCCACAACCTTTAGATAATTCCATGTTATTTTTCTCTTTTTAAGGAACGAGTGACTAAATTATCTCCACGTCCCCAAACTGAAGAAGAATTATCTGCCCTGTTTGAAGCTTCCATGAAACTATATTAGCTTGACAAACACTGACACTTCCTCAGTAATATCGTAACTTTTATTGAAAGTTTATTCAAAACATACGAATGCCAGCCATATAGGACGGAGGCTGTTTCTTCTTCTTTCTTCATCCCTGCCTGTGGAACAGCCTTCTCTGCCAAAAAGGGTTGGTGTCTCATCAAACTTCAATTCCCATAAATGAATTCCTTTTTTTGTTTTGCTATCTGTATATAGTGCTGTAATTAATTTTCCAAGTTGCCAATTTATTATCTCTATATCAAATGGGCCAAACACTTTATCAAGAGTAAACCTTTCCAAGTTGAGAGAACTCTGTCTGCTAGAGGCATTTCTAATTCAGGACACCATTTTTTTTTAAAAGGACACTTTGTTGTTTTTTTATGACTACCTTGAACACTTGCCTCAAATAGGCTGTACCCACCCATACTATGTTAGGACCTTTTTATGGCAGCATATACGATGTAGGTCTGTAAGTCAATTTACTACTTGTAAAAGGGGTGGGCAAGAGGTGGAGATTGTGGCATCAATTGTTTTCAGACTGGTGAATAAACAAAGATGCAATGTTATAGCAATATGCTTTCCTTTGGTTTCAGTATTTTTTTGGACTCAGGCTTTTCCAAAAAATGTTTGGAAAAATAAGTAAGAGACAGAATAAGTAAGTGCATGTTGCAACTTTAGCTAACATGTTGTAGGGGTTTGAGCATTGTACTATGATTCTGGAGACCAGGATTCAAATCCATGCACAACAATGGAAACTCTCTCATCAGGAAGTTCATACTCTCTCAGCCTCAGAGAAAGGCAGTCTCCCTTTGAATAAATTAGGGTTGCCATATGTCAGAAATAACTTGAAGGTATACTACAATAACAGTGTTTCAGCTGCCAAAAACTAATGAACACATGCATTGGACATTCTCATTACCGCACAAACACTGTAGATTAGGCAACAGCACAAAAAGAGAGTCAGAATATGTATTTAGGACAAAATTAAATTGGTTTGTCATACATTCTTATCTTAGGAATTTTCACAGGGCCAAAGGAAAATGCTTTTTTCGATATTGTAGCTTGAGGTGCTGGATTCGAAAAACACAATAAAAATATCACACACATTTCTTTCACCCATTCTAATCTCAGTCACATATTACAACATAAATCAAATCAAAAATCTTTATTACGGTCATAGACCAACATAAGGAAAGTGGAATACAGTCAAAGCAAGTTGTGAGGGAAATTTCAAGGTCATTTTTGGATTTAGAACACCATATTTCTATAAAAAAACTTTGTATGACTCAATCTTGAAGATATACTACTGATCAATATAGTAATTGATGCAATTTGAATTTTGAACTATGATTCAGTCAAGAGATTTGCAAAATCTCTTCCACTTAGACATCTCTCATTCAGAAGGCTAACATAACTTGAAGTTGACTTGATAGCAACTAACTAACAATCACCAATTGTCTCTTTCAGTGTTGTAAGTCAGGAATTCATGTGTGAGTATATAGTTCTTAAATAATGAAATTCATGAGGGCAAAACTGGGTTTGCCACTGAGCATACTTCCATCAGAAAGGTTCAATTGCAAACCCCAGTTCTCTGGCAAGAATACCAAAATATAAACCTAGATACAGAATTCTGCACATATCACTGTATGTTTTTACAGGTACATATTTGAACTTTAATATGTGTAGAAGAGTGCGAAGTAATGGTCACTACTAGAAGTGTTTGTGTTCAAACCAACCATGTTTTCAGTTGTGTGGAAAGGTGTTTGTCATGCATCTGAGAAAGTGGATTATATTCCACAAAACACATGTTTAAAAATAAAGCTGGTGATCTTAAAGATGTGGCTAGACCTCCCTTTTCCTGCCTTTTTGCCTAAGACTCTCACCCATATGCGAGTGAATGCCTCTCTTAGTCACCTTAGTGACCCACGGACTGAATTTTGCACTTTTAATGAGATACGCAAATGTGAGTGTTGGTCCCAAAGGGCTTGAGTTCACTGCTTAGCATTCACATGCTTATTTACAGCTGCAACTAAAATGGATGACACATCTGAAAGATGGATGGATTGTCAGGGACTCCAATGTGCCTCTTCCCCCTTTCCATTGTTGTGTCCCTTGCTTCTCTGCACTTGAAGGGCACTAGCCATTGTCTCTAACATTATTGGTGTTGCTGTGGACACAGCTGTAGCATTTTGTTCCTACACAGTGCAGATCCTCTGACTTCTCACAAAGTCTTCATAGTGTGCAAAGCTGGAGTTGGAAAGTATACTCTCCTTCTTCACCCCTCCTCTTTTCTGCACACACACAATTATGATACAAACATGAGATACCAGGGAAGTATTGACATAGTTCTAATGAAAGAATAATTGTGGATTTAGTTAAGGCAATATGCTGATGGTTAGGGGAAATAATTTCTCCATCTCTAGGTTACTAAATAAGGTTCTCAGTAACCTATAGCAAAGATGAACCAATCCAATTTTTCATGGACTAGCTACAGTCGTGAAACATAGCAGCTTATCCTATTGCTACATATTATGTGTGCTTACTTACTTACTTAGGCGATCCCTCGTTGGACGAGTAAGATGGTCTTCCATTATGGATTTCCTTGTGGGTCCGTATGTGGCTGTGGAGCCCTATTCTTGCTCTGCATCTTCTTCCGCAGTGTGGGCATTGGTTTCCAGGTGGAAGGCGGTCCCGGTCGGGGTTGGCTTGACGCGCCTTCCTCCTGGCACGTTTCTCTCTTTCACCCTCCACTCGTGCCTCCTCAAATTCTGCAGCACTGCTGGTCACAGCTGACCTCCAGCTGGAGCGCTCAAGGGCCAGGGCTTCCCAGTTCTCAGTGTCTATGCCAGAGTTTTTAAGGTTGGCTCCCTCCATTCGTGCCTCTTCAAATTCTGCAGCACTGCTGGTCACAGCTGACCTCCAGCTGGAGCAGTCAAGGGCCAGGGCTTCCCAGTTCTCAGTGTCTATGCCAGAGTTTTTAAGGTTGGCTTTGAGCCCATCTTTAAATCTCTTTTCCTGTCCACCAACGTTCCATTTTCCGTTCTTAAGTTCGGAGTAGAGCAACTGCTTTGGGAAACGGTGGTCAGGCATCCGGACAACGTGGCCGGCCCAGCGGAGTTGATGTTGGAGGACCATCGCTTCAATGCTGGTGGTCTTTGCTTCTTCCAGCACACTGACGTTTGTCCGCTTGTCTTCCCAGGAGATTTGCAGGATTTTCCGGAGGCAGCGCTGATGGAAACGTTCCAGGAGCTGCATGTGACGTCTGTAGACAGTCCACGTCTCACAGGCATAGAGCAGGGTTGGGAGGACAATAGCTTTATAGACAAGCACCTTGGTCTCCCTACGGATGTCCCGGTCCTCAAACACTCTCTGCTTCATTCTGGAAAATGCTGCATTTGCAGAGCTCATTATGTGTGCCTTCAAGTCCTAAAGGGTTATCCTAAGGTGAACCTTCCACTGGGTTTTCTTGACAAATTTTGTTTAGAGCTGAAGGTTGTCTTTGACTTCTCTAAGGCTGAAACAATATGGCTTGCCCAAGATTATCTAATGCAGTGGTTCTCAATCTTCTCAAAGCTGTGACCCCTTAATACAGTTCCTCGTGTTGTGGGGACCTCAACAATAACATTATTTTTGTTGCTACTTTATAACTGTAATTTTGCTATTGTTCTGAATTGTAAATATCTTATATGCAGGATATATTTTCATTCACTGGACGAAATTCAGCACAAATACCCGATATGCCCAAATTTGAATACTGGTGGGGTTAGGGGGAGATTAATTTTGTCATTTGGGAGTTGTAGTTGCTGGAATTTATGGTTAACCTACAATCAAAGAGCATTTTGAACTACACTGATGGAATTCAAAAAACTTGGCACATAGAATCCTCATGACCAACAGAATATGTTTTCTGATGGTCTTTGGCGACCCCTTTGATACCCCCTCATGACCCCCCCCCCGGGGTCCCGACCCCCAGGCTGAGAAACACAGATCTAATGGGTTTCCATGGCTGAGAGGGAATTCAGACCCTGGTATCCAGGGTCATATCCTAACACTTGAAACTATATCACGTAGCTCCTGCTACCATTCTCAGCAAAAAGACCAGAGGAAAATTTATCACAATGCCATGTTTGTAGCAAATAGTACAATTATGCAAAACAGTGTGACTAATTAGGTATGGGTATTCTTCATTTGCTTTGAGGTTAAATAAAAGTATGTTGCTGAAAGGCTTATAAAATTGGCAAGCTATGAATTAATTTCCAAATTGCATTGACAGAGGAGCCTAAGTAGATAAAGTGGAAAGGTTATTGTTTGGGACATCAATTCCCATAATCACAATATTGGCTGTGCTTTCTTGGAGACACTTCTTTAAAAAAAACCCTCAAGACCAGCACAAATTTGTCACAGCATAAGATAGTATACAGCTATTTGCTTAGACTATGACTACAGACATCCAAGCACTTGGAAGTCTAAAATGCTGAATCTAATGAATGGAGGGCATCATTTCCTTGCTAGAGGGGAACAAAAACTAGCACCAGGAATTGGGGGTAGGGAAGGCTGTCCTACATATCAATTCCCAAGGTTGGAAATCCTCCTCACTATGTATTTGTAGCATTCATAGATCTTGTAATCTGAGCTGATTTACTTTAATCAGATTCACTGAATCAAGGCAGGTACTTAGTGCTTCAGGATCGTTAGTAGCTGTAGAAGTAAAGTGACTGGAGACTGGAACAGAGATCATAATGAAGTGCTGTTTTGTCACTAATAGGTATTTCCTTACTGATGGGGCTAATATTGGTGACATTACAATGCCTAAACTGATGAAAAAACCAAGTCAATTTTGCACTGAAACCACCCCAAAATTTAGTTTACCTATGGTACGCATAGCTGAAGTTTGAAAGCAGAGTTTTTGATAGGATGGTCAATCTAAAACATGTCATAATGTTTAGGATTTATAAGGGTATGAGTTTCTAAATATAGGCTAATATTGGTTGGGATTTAGAAGTCAGAACTGAATTTGGATAATAGCACTTGAATGCGATTAGGTACCCAACCAATTATATTCCACTAGATTCCTAAAATGTCATGCATTATTTGAGGTCAATGCAACACTTCCTCATATTTTTCCTTGACACATTTTAATACAATGTACCATATATACATATTTTAAGGGGTAATGAATGTATTGCACCCGTATCTCAAGGGGTAAAGAATCTCAAATACATTGTGTTGAACAAGTTCCCCTCCCCCCTCTACACACACACACACACACACACACACACACACAGAAATTCCATCACTGGAAGAACTTTTCTGTAATTCACAGAATTATGAAAACACAACCAAGTTTTGTGCCAAAGGTTCTTTGGTTTTGCTGCAACTGATCTTTTAAGAATTGTGTACAATGCAGGTGTGTTATTAAAAGTTATTAACTGATCGACCATATTAGTAATTACCTTGTTACACAAAATTGAACTTTTGCATCTTCTTTTACTTTTTCTTTGCAAACTCGTGCCTAAGATTCATCATATGATTGTCAGTATGCTTGAAGTTTTGTTTACTATTCATGCAAATC